AGCCGGCTCCTTCCTGCGCCGCTCTGCGATCAGAACAAAGCCAGAGTCAAAGCTGGGGCCGGCCCTGCCGTCCTCGGGCTCCCGCAGCCGGCTCAGCCCCCAGCCTTGCACCCTCGCCCCGTCCCCGGGGCCGCCCGGCACTCGGCCCCGCATCCCTGGGGCCATCCTGGAGAAACGGAGCTGCGTGACGGGCTCGGATGCCTCGGTGGGACGGATCCTGGCTCCGCCGCCTGCCGAGCCGGTGCTGGGGGATGCTGCCGGCGTGGTGGTCCTGAGCCCGCCAGGATGGTCTGGGAGGATGGAGGCTCCCTCTTGCTGGGCCGGATCCTGCGGCGGGTGGCCGCCCACCGCCTCGGTGCTCCCCTCAAAAAAAAGGGCCGGATCCTGCGGCAGATGGCCGGCCACCGCTTCGGTGCTCCCCTCCACCAGCTCTCCATCCCCACACAGGATGGGGACGTCCACCGCCGCCAGGCTAAGGGTCCCGGCCGGATCCAGGAGGGCTTCGGCACTGTCGGCTGGAGCTGTCTGCTGCATCGCGGGGGACAGCACCGATGCCGTGTCACCTACCCCGGCACCCAGGACCTCCTCAGTCCCCGAGCCACCGTCTGTGCTACTGGGGGGCTGAGACAGGGCATCTAAGTCAGTGAGGGTGGCATGGAGGAGGCTGTAAGGGACCCGGGTGCTAGCGGGTGCCACCTCCCTGCCGGCATGGGTGGCAGCAGAGAGGGAGGGCTGGGTGGCAGAAGGGAGGGCAGGGGACAGGCAATTGCAGTCAGGATCTGTCCCCACACCTGAAAGAAGCAGAGAGAAGAGACGGCCATGGGGTCACCAGCCTCCAAGAGGAGCACAGCCAGCAGATCCGAGGTCAGGGGCAGCAACCCCATCCCTCCCCACAGCCCTGGGCAAGAGGGTCAAACAACCTCCTGCCCAAAAAAAAACCAAAACAACAAACAGGGAGGGCAAAGGTGAGGCAGAGAACAGGCAGGGAGCAGGCAGGGACAGACGTGGCAGCACGAAGATGACAAGCAGCGGGCAGGATGAAGCAAACCCGAATCACCGGGTCCCCTGAGCAGACGGCACCGGGTTATCCACGACTGGCAGGAGCCAGACAGCCACGTTTAACGTCCCCCACGGCACAGGGACACGGCACGGCTCCGACACATAGGTGGCAGCGAGACGTCTCCTCCGCGGGCATGCAAACACACAGCGCAGGCGCTCGCGAAAGCACAGACGGCAACACGGGTTCTTCCACCCCGGCGGGCAATGCTCTCCCTGGGGAAACTGAGGCACGGGGCAGTTGAAGTGACACAGCCAAGGTCATGCAGCACGTCGGTGGCAGAGTGTCCCAACGCCTCGATTTCTCCGTGTTATGCCCAAGCCAGGCGCTGCGGCTTTGAGATGGAGCTGAGCCTGATGCCTCCAGCCAGGCCGACGGAGATGCCTCCTCATTCCCCCTCAGCATCTCTCTGGCCTTGTCTCCAGCAGGTTTCGGCCCAAATCCCACCTCCGAAGGGTGACCAGCCCCTTCTCCCAACCCGGGCTCTCCCCAGACATAGACGCAGAGCTCGCCGACACACCGCCAAGGCCACCCCACGGGGACGGCCACCAGCCGAGCAACAGAGACGGGGACTAATGCAGACACATGCCGTGCCCACGGCACCCGCGTGTGCCCATGGACGGGGACACGCGGCTCTCAAGCTGCTCCATGCAGACGAGCCCAAACCCGCCAGCCCGGCACAGATTTGCCGGGCAGAGACAAAGCCTCAGCATCTCACCTGGTGAGGATCCGGCCTTCTTGGGTCCCAAGCAGGTCCTGCCGTAGACCTGGCTGCAGTCCTTCTCGAAGGTCTCCTGGTTCTGCAGCAGCTGGTTGATGTCCTGGAAGAATTGCTTCACCAGCACCAGCATCTCGTAGGGGGAGGTGGTGAACTCCTCGAAGCACATTTGCGAGAGCTGGAGGAAGAGCTGGCCTCAGCATCGGCTCCACAACCATGCCGGGCAGCCGGTGTCACTGCCACGGGGTACCACGCTGCACCCAGGGCAGGGTTTGACCCCACCATGGCTCCCTGTGTCCATATGCACACCCCATCTCTGCTCCACTTCAAGGTCCTGCCCACGCACCCACCCCAGGATGCTCTGGATACCCCATTTCACCCAAGGTTGAGGACTCAGACCCACACCCCTGTGGATCTGGCACCCCACGAGGCAGGGGACACCGTACCTTTCTCTCCTCATCATCCTCCTCCTTGATGCAGGGGTCGACGTTCTCGTCGATGCGGCTGTACATGCTGCGCACCATCTGCATCTTCTTGGCGTTGGACGAGTTCTCCTTGAACTCGGTTCGCTCCAGGATCTTGCCCAGCAGAGGAAAAGCGGCTTTCACGTAGCAGACGGAATCGTTCTGCGAGGAACACGGACCCCCAAAAAAAAGCGAGACCGGTTACTGGATGGGCAGAGGCAGCACCACCCGTCCCACTCTGCCTGGGGGAAACTGAGGCACGGAGCCACAAAATGCCTTTCTACGGTCCCGCAGGCTGCCCAAGCTGGGACTCGACAGCCGCCTGGCCAGGCAGGATGGGTCCCTCCTGGGCTGCCTCCCGCAAAGGGGGACAGGAGAGGGGAGACTGGGGACCCGGGGACCCCCCTATGCACCAGCCAGCCCTGGTCCCTGTCCCCTTCTGTCCCCCGGTGCCCAGCGAGGAGCCACTCACCAACTGCATCTTATTGATGAACTTGAAGGAGACCCTGCCTGGGTGCTGCATCTGGGTGTCAGCCTGGAAGGAGAGAGCAGGATGTCACCCCGCGGCTCCAGGGGGATAACACAGCAGGAAGGGGCAACGGAGCCGACACGGGCACCCCGAGGGCATGAAGGGGTGCCTAAGCCCCCCAAATCCACAGGACTGCGGGGTTCTGCTCCCACCCCTGCTTCATCCCACACCATCTTCCTCCTCGCACAGACATTCCCTAAGGTCAAACCTCTGGCAGGGGGGAGCCCAGGATCCCTGCTCCCACCAAGATGGCACGCTCCCCGTACCAGGGACGCCTGCCTCCCCCTTGCCAGCTCCCACCCCGCCTCTCTTCCTCCTCCTCTTCCTCCCAGCACAACCAAGCAGAGTCTGGCCCTGCTTGTTTCTCCCAGGGTCTCCCTCGCACCGCTCGCTCTGCTAAAGCCAGGCTGCAAAAGAGCAGCCTGCCATGCAGGAGGTGGTCGTGACACCAAGGTCACATATCCCCCTGCGTCACACAACGCCGGGGTCCCGCACACAGCGCTGCCGGCTCCCCGTACCACGACCCTTTCCGACGGGGGTGAAAACCCACCCCAAACAAGCCCCCTGCCTCCGGGCCGGCATCCCAGGCTGGGAGGGCGAACAATTGCACCATTATCCCCGCAGGGGCTGGAGCGAGGGCCGGCTCCTCGGCCAGCGGGAAGAGGAGAGGGCTGTAATCCCCAGCAGAGAAACCACGACTTCCATTCAAACCTGCTCCGTCCCCTTTCTTCCCCCCCAACCACACACCCACTTTTAATCCCCGGGGGTTGCAAAGCAAAGGCTCCCCGGAGACGTTGGGGTGCTGGGGCTGCAGGGACAGCTCGGGCAGAGGAAGCTGAGCTTGCACACACGACATCTGCCAGCTCCTGGCACCGCAGCTCGGTGCTTAAAGAGGAAGAGGTAAAGCAAGCCCGGACACAGCTGCGAGCTGGAGAGCTCGGTGCAAAGCAAGCGGGCAGCGAGGATTCAGAGGCGCCGCTATCGCCTCTCACCCGCACACCCCACTCGCTGCAACGGCAGAATTTAATCTGTGACAACTGTGCAAATCCCTGCGTGTCCCCGATTCCCGTTTCTCTCCCGAGCATCCGCGTGATTCCCTGCTCAGAGGTGAGCCAAGGGCCAGGGTGGGATACGGCCCCAGCAGCCGAGATGGGGCCAGGAGTTGCTTCCCTGTGGGGTGGGTGCAAGCACCCGGAGCTGCCCACGGGATGAAGGCACCCATCGCCCCAGCCTGGCTGGCTCCGTCGCCCAGCTAGCCTGGCCAACGGCCCCCCTCACTGCCTGCCACCCACCCACAGCCCCATTGCCAGCCCAGCTTCCAGGCAAGCAGCTGGACTCAGGAATGCAGCCGGATTCCTCCGCTTAACCCCTGCGCAGCCGCACAGAAAACGCCATGGCCCCACAGCACCGGTCCTCTCCACCGCTTCCCCATCACCCCTGCACCCATCCAGCCCCGCTTGTGCCCCCTTCCCTGCCACGCTCCTGCCAGCTCCCACTTCCCCTCTTTCTCAGTTTCTCCCACCGGCACTTTTCCGTGGCCACCCTTGCTAAAGTCACCACGGTGTGTCACCCCCCGGTGCCCGCTTGTCCCTCATGCCCACGGATGCTCAACTGGTAGAGCTGAAAATAAGCTGATTCGCTGCTTTTCAGCCCTAACTAAGGGCTGATTTGCGCCTGCCCAGCCCCAAACGGGCCCCCGTCCTGCAGCAGAGCCCGGGGAGGGCACTCACCAGCTCCTCCAGCTCGGCCAGGTGCTTCTCCGTGATGATCTGCTGGCAGTAGCTGTTCTGCTCCGTCTCATGGATGCTGCAGACCAGGAGGAGGAGGAGGGACGACAGCAGGGTGCAGCGGAGCAGGCACACCTGAGCATGGCAGAGCAAAGGCTTGGAGTAGGGCAATCC